TTTTTTCTGATTTGATATTTTTTTTTTTTGCTGAATTGCAGAACTAGAAAGATTCATAGTTATACATTACAAGCTTATCCTTACAAAAAGCAAGCGTGCATACCCCCTAACTTAGATGTAGCATTGTCCCCAATGCGACTGACAGTAGGACATAGGATGCTCCCGCCTACCCCAAAACTTAGAACTAAGAAAAATGGAGTTATAAAAGGGGCAATTTTTGCAAGTCAGATATAGATGGTGTAAAGGGACATAAAAATGGGTGTGAAATATAAGGATTGACTCTATGGTCATACTAAGATAGTAGTGGTTGGCTCGGATAGGTAAGTTATGGAAGCTTCTCATCTAAGTGTTCTCTGTTTTAGAATTGTATTCACAGGATGCTGTTGGGGCCTTCGTACTAGAATCTAAGCTAAAGCAGGAACAAAAACAGGCACTGCCCGCAAGCGGATGCTCTAGCACAAAACTATATTGAAGACTAAATATCTACTGGCAGCATTATTACTTAAGAACGTAGGGCAAGAACAAGATGCGCAAGAACAAGATGCACAGAACAGTAGATGTAAGAACAATCATATTTCAATTCATTTAAGCACTCAAAATTTAATTTGGGTAGAGGTAGATATATATCTAACTACAAAAATCTAAAGGTGAATGCATAGAAAATTAAATCTAAAAAATTAAGACAAATGAAAATAAGTAACATAAAGTAAAAACCAAAATTTTAAAATATCAGGGGGGTAGGGTCATTCAATAGGAGAAAAAAGGGAAAGGGACTTTCTCCTATAGATCAATCTCCTTTGTCTTCTTTCTCATCCAACGAGTCACCAGTGGGCTAATCTTCCTCTTTGGATCCATCATCTCTTTCTCTCTCTTTGCTGTTGGGGTAGGCTCCTACAAAACAGATGTAGCATATCTCTTCCCCTCAGTTGAGGAAACAGAAGTTCCCCTTTCTACCTTTTTGTTCTTCTTGGAAGTGGTGACTTGAGGTTTTGCATTTTTTTCTTTGCTGCATGATGATTTTAGCTCTCTTTTCGATTTTCTCGTCTTTGATGCACGACCTTTGATAAGTATTGATTAAAGGCTAAAAATGGTAGGTTTGTATGCTTAGTTGGGAGTTAATTATGATGAAAAATGTATGTTCAAGCATATAATTTAGGGAAAATGTGCATAATTTGTGATTAGGGAC